AGTGCTCCTCTGAGTGTTGGTCCAACGTAGAGCACCGTGCGGGGCCGTTCCTTGGCAACTTGGGTTATGTTGGCTCCCGTACGCTTAGCTTATCCGGTGTGCCCTGAGAACGAGATATGTGCAGCTCCTATCGGGATTTGTCGGCACAGCGAGCGGTGTTGCTGGACTTGTTTTACCATTGTCGGAGTTATCTTGAATTACCGAGATACCGAGTCTGATCGGAACGTCTTGGGAGGAGGTCTATTCCTTCATTGACCGTGAGAGCTTGTCATGGGCTAAGTTGGGACTCCCCTGCAGGGATTGAACTTTCGAAAGCCGTGCCCGCGGTTATGGGCAGATCGGAATTTGTTAATGTCCGGTTGTAGATAACTTGAACCTTAACTTAATTAAAATGAATCAACTGAGTGTGTTACCGTGATGGCCTCTTCTCGGCGGAGTCCGGGAAGTGGACACGGTGTTGGAGTAATGTTTGCGCAGGTTCCTCTCTAGTTCCTCGCTCGTGCTTTGCCTCATCTTCTCGCTCTCTTTTGCGAATAAGTTAGCCACCATATTTGCTAGTCGCTTGCTGCAGCTCCACTCTTATTTTACCTTGCCATTCCTATAAGCTTAAATAGTCTTGATCGCGAGGGTGCGAGATTGCTGAGTCCCTGTGGCTCACAGATTACTATTACACCAGATTCAGGGCCTGATGATTCTGCTCCAGGAGACGCGTATGAGCTCAAGTGGGAGTTCGACGAAGACTCTCAACGATACTACGTTTCCTTTCCCGATGATCAGTAGTGGTGCCCAGTTGGGGGTGATTGGGACCGTGTCGCATGTTGGGTTCTCTTTTATTTTGGCGCCATAGTCGGGCCATGAGTGTTTGGATGATGAAATGTTATTTATGTTCTTGATTGACGTGGTGAGTGTAAGCCAACTATATTATCTCCCCTTTATTATTCATATTACATGGGATGTTGTGAAGATTGCCTAAGTTGTGACATATGCCTTCAATGCGATTATGTCTCTAAGTCGTGCCTCGACACGTAGGAGCTATAGTCGCATCGAGGGTGTTATACTAGCCTTCCCCAAGTTGCTTTCCACTCAAATCTTATTTTCACCAAATCCAAATCCTGTGAGAGAGATTTGAGTGTTGGGGAGACTATCATTTGAAGCACAAGAGCAAGGAGTTCATCATCAACACACCATTTGTTACTTCTTGGAGATTGGCTAGGTGTCACTTGAGAGCCTCCGACAAGATTGTGGAGTTGAACCAAGGAGTTTGTAAGGGCAAGGAGATCGCCTACTTTGTGAAGATCTATTGCTAGTGAGGCAAGTCCTTCGTGGGCGACGACCATGATGGAATAGACAAGGTTGCTTCTTCGTGGACCCTTCGTAGGTGGAGCCCTCTGTGGACTCGCGCAACCGTTACCCTCCGTGGGTTGAAGTCTCCATCAACGTGGATGTACGATAGCACCACCTATTGGAACCACGACAAAAATATCTGTGTCTCCAATTGCGTTTGAATCCTCCAAACCCTTCCCTTTACATTCTTGCAAGTTGCATGCTTTACTTTCTGTTGGTCATGTACTCTTTTGCATGCTTGCTTGAATTATGTGGAGATTTCTTGGCTTGTGCTAAGATAGCTAAAATCTGCCAAGAACTAAAATTGGGAAAATGCTAGATTTTTATTTGGTCAAGTAGTCTAATCACCCCCCCCCTCTAGACATACTTTCGATCCTACAAGCTCCCTATGGGGTGGCTAAGTCCCCGGCGATACAACCGCCAAAGAGCAGCGGTACAAATGCTCCACCACCACCTGGGACACTGCCTAACCCGAGGGAATAACCCCTCGGGCGGTAGTTGTTCCTGAAGCACGAGGCAGCCGATACAACCGCCAAGGTACGTGGTACAACCGCCTTGAGCAACAGATAGAGGAAACAGGTTAGTCCGAAATTGCCATAACTTTAGTGGATAGACTCAGATTTCGACAAACTCAAACTTTATAGAAAGCTAACGACATGAGTTGCGAAATCTTTAGAATAAGAAAGAGTAATATGGCAATTATGTAGAAGTGTGAAACCTCCATAAGTGAAGAACTTACAAAAACTTGAACATCGAAAACATAATAAAAGATGCAAATGGAATCCATTTTCGATGAACTTGAGCTTGTCAAGAAGATAACCACAATCTCCAAAACTTCACATAGAGAAAAACGAAACAAGAACCAAGAAATATGATGCCAAGGATGCAAAGATTTGAGATCTCTATGAATGATACGATCAAGCTACTCACTCGAGAGCCCTCCTTGATAGTACAACTATCGATCCTATAACCTGGTCTCCCAACTAACACCACGAGACCGGTAAGATAGAAAACCTATTAAGGATATACCTTAGCCTTGCGCACAGTCCATTTGAACTAGATTATGACAATCTTGACCTCCTCAAGTTGGACCACCTTTTTTGATTTCGCTGGCTTGATGAATACTAGTGAGTTGCTCCTCCATACTCCACTATGGGTGATCCTCTCTTCGACACATCTTCACATTTTAGTTATCACCAGAGTGGATAGAAAGCTTCAAGCACATGATCTCTTCATGACGCTCTATTTGAACTTGCACAACGCAACCTTGATAATGATCACCACTTGATGCCATCCTCCATGGGTTATATGCTACCTTCCTTCTGATCAAAGCTCATAGAAAGATACCTAACCCACATAGAAACCTCAAATAAATCATGGATTGGTACACAAAGCGTAATGGACAATGCTTACCATACCATGGGATCATTGGATCCCACTTGGTATATCTTCTATGCTTTGTGTAATCCACTCTTTGTACTTAGTCTTGATCAACCTTGTATCATATATTCTCTCTACATAAAGATGATGTCTTGAACATAAACATGAATGCTCACACAATCCTCTTTCTCAAGACATGCTTGCAATAATCTCAACTCTCACATGGCCAACTCCTTCTTATAACTTTGAAACCAACAAATGGTCTTCAAGCAATGCATGTCGACAAACCCTTCAAATTTAATTCAAAGCAATCATTAGTCCATAGGAATTGTGATCGATTGCCAAAACCAAACATGGGGCACCATGTTCTTTCAGCTACTGCGTCACCGGAGGCGGTGCGGTCCGTCTGGCATCCGAACGCGTCGGCGGATGCACAACCGCTTTGTTGGCGCGCCGAGGCGAAGGTGAACACATGGGCTTCCGCTGATGCCAATATGGTGTGGCGTTCCAGCCGTGCAAGGCATCAGGCATGGGAGACGGTGGAAGCCCTCGCGACAGTGAATGTTGGCGAGGCGGAGTCACATTCTCCGATGCCCCGTATGTTGCAGCAGTCGAGCACCGCAACTACATCATGGTGGACATCACCGGCTCCTCCGAGGACGAATCCATCATTGATCTCATGTTCACCGACAGTGTGAAGGTTCTGGACTCTGACAAGAAAGAGTAGGGCATGGGAGACGGCGACGTCTTGAGTCCCGTGAGCCGGTCCGTGTCCCATGGCCTACTCTATCTCGCCAGCGACTGGACCAACCTTTCGAAGGGCGCAGCCGGCCACCAGACATGGGCACGACGTAGCCGGCTGAGGTCTGCTTAGATTAGGTTTTACGTTATATAAACTAATATGGATTTGCTAATTTGAAAATGGTGTTTATGGTTGTGAAATCAACTTTTCGTGTATTGTCCGTCGTGGACGCGACCGATCGCGCGTCCGCGGGTATTTTCATGCCGAATTTAGGCAATTGCGGTCGTAGATGCTCTAATATCATCCACCTCGGTAGAAAAAAGAAGTTAACATCCAGAGTCTAATGTAGTTTCATTTCAAACATGTGCTGAGAACTTCAGATTCCCGTTCGACGTCGGTCAAAAACGAAGGCGTGCTCTCCGTCTCTGGGCCCATCGTCCCGTCCCCATCTTCCCTCATTCCAGGATCTATTTCAGCCAATGGGCAATGGCGGGCTTCCCAATCCCAAGTCGAGTAGAGCACCCGGGCGCGAGTCTCTTCCAGCTCTCCCGCCACCGCCATGACGTCGCCGGCGACGGAGAAGCCCAAGACCACCAAGAAGCACAACGCGCGCCTCAACAACCCCTTCCCGCGCGCCGTTCCGGCCGAAGCTTTCCGCAACGGCGACGCCACGCCGCCCCTCTCCTTCGGCCCGTTCTCCAAGCTCGCCCACGCCCACGATTACCCCGTCGGCTCCCGATTCCGCCTGAGCTGGAATCCCTCGTTCGGCGGACCGATCTCGCTGGCACGCGTCTCCTCCTCCGGCGGCGACCCTCGCAGCCGCGTGATGTGGGAGACCATCCCCGGCGTCGCGTTCGTCTCCGCGGCTTCCGCCACCACCGAGGCCGACGAGTGCCGCGGATCGTTCGCGCTCCGCGACGGACCCGCCCGCCTTGTTCCGGACCGCCAGAGTGTCGACAGGATCCGGTCCTTGTACCGCTGCGACGTCGAGGCCGGCGCCGACGCCCTGCGGGGCGCCGCGTTCGAAGCGTCTGACCAGACACGGTTCCCGGTGCTGTTGATCACCGGGGTCGTGTCTGCGAAGAAGGCGGACCCTGCGTCGTCGTGCTGCTGCGGCCTGCGCGCCGGCCGCCGCGCCAGGGCCCGCGCAGGAAAGCCGGTCCTTTCAGCGAGGTACTGGGTCTTCCTGGAGGAGAAGAGCGACACGCAAGTGTCGTTGAGCGTCAAGATCGCCGACTACCAATGGAGCTGCGGCCACGCCGATCCTTCGAGTCCACCGCCGGCGGCCACGACAGCTCCAAGGCCCCACAGGATCAACATCCTGAGCCTTCGGCTCCGCCTGGCGGGGCGAGTCCATAGGAGCATGAGCAAGAAGAAGAAGCTCTCCGCCGGGTTCCCGGCGCAGGAGGAGGTCTCAGCGCTGCTACCGCCGCCGGAGAGAGCGTCGGCGGAGGAGGAGGCACGGCCGGAGGAGTTCAACCGGGTGTTCCTCACGTACGCGAGCTCGCTCGACGAGCGGTTCGACGGCTTCGGCGAGCAATTCAGCTGCATGGAATTCAAGGGGAGAAGGGTGCCCGTTCTTGTGCAGGAGCAGGGGATTGGCAGGGGAGACCAGCCCATCACTTTCGCTGCCAATCTCCTCAGCTACAGGTAAATAATAGTCTCCCCATGTTTTGTTACAAATATTTGTCGATTGTGGTTTTCAATTCAAATACATGATGTTTTTACATAATATAAATAAATTCATTTTTTCCAAAATAAATAAATGCCATATTATTATAATGAATTTTGTAAAATAATAATTTATTTATTTTGAACAGTCCAATTTGTACAAAAGATTCAAAAGTTTGACCATTTAGATTCAAGAGTTTGGGCATCATCGATGGATTGAAAACGCTCTTAGTGTGGTCGCTTGTTGCATCCGTGAACGAACTTGATACGTACAAGTATTTAAGATGGCAATGATGGCGAGTGTAATGACTCACAGCTAGGAGCTAGCGACAGTGACAAATTGTCACCGAAAGTTGTCTTGCGCGTGTGCGCTTGGAACTCCTACTCGATGTCCACAGTTCTCTCACTTTGTCATAGCCAGACAAGGAGATTATGTTGCCATTTTAATCAGTCCTGGTTTTTTTGTATTTCGAGTATGAGACGCTCTGTTGTGGTGTTCAACTCGTGGTGATTTTTGTGTAGGTCGGCAGGAAACTGGAGCACCACGTATGCTCCATCTCCTTTCTACATGACCTCCAAGATGAGGTCCCTGTACCTGGAGGGATACGATTATTAGTATATTTGACCTTACAAAACCTGACAGAGTACAGATTCAGGTAGCCATTCAGCATGTCTATATGCACTTTCTTTTCTAATCAGTCTCTGAGTGAGCTGAGTGAAGTCAAGAACCGCGGACAGTCCAACTCAACTCGGTTGTGCATTGCAGGTTTATGGGAATTCGGTTCAGGGAAGAATACTAGAGGGAGAGTCACCGACCGAGCTGATCACGAGCTACACGGGGTCCACCGGACGGCCGCCGGTTCTTCCCAGATGGATCACGTCCGGCGCGGTCGTCGGCATGCAGGGCGGCACGGACGCCGTCCGCCGTGTGTGGAGCCAGCTGCGAGACCACGACGTCCCGGTCTCCGCACTCTGGCTGCAGGTCTCCGGTCTGAAGGAATCAACAAGCACTTGAGAAACACTCAACTCTGAACTCTGAACTCTGAACTAGTGCGTGTTGCATATTCTGCAGGATTGGGTTGGGCAGAGGAAGACGGCGATCGGGTCGCAGCTCTGGTGGAACTGGGAGGTCGACGACGATCACTACGCCGGCTGGAAGGATCTTATACGCGACCTCAGGTGCGACGGCGTGAGGACGATGACATACTGCAATCCCTGCCTCGTCCCGGTTCGTGCCGTGCATGTGCATCCCCGATCGATCAGAGCTCCAAATTTTGGTGGAAATTCCTTGTGATCGAGCTTATATGTAGTATGTGTGTGTGCAGATGGGTGAGAAGGGGAACGCGAGGAGGCACCTGTACGAGGAGGCCAAGGAGCTGGGGATCCTGGTGAGGGACGAGGCCGGCGAGCCATACATGATGCCCAACACGGCGTTCGACGTGGCAATGCTGGACTTCACCAACCCGGAGGCGAGCTCCTGGTTCAAGGGCATCCTGCGCGGGATGGCGGACGAAGGCGTCAGCGGCTGGATGGCCGACTTCGGGGAGGGCCTCCCGCTGGACGCGCGGCTCCACTCGGGGGAGGACCCCGTGGCGGCGCACAACCGGTACCCGGAGCTGTGGGCGCGCGTCAACCGGGAGTTCGCCGACGAGTGGAAGTCGGAGGCCGGCGAGGACGAGGAGGAAGGGGTGGTGTTCTTCGTGCGGGCGGGGTTCAGGGAGAGCTCCAGGTGGGCGATGCTCTTCTGGGAGGGGGACCAGATGGTGAGCTGGCAGGCCAACGACGGCATCAAGAGCAGCGTCGTGGGCCTGCTCAGCGGCGGCCTCTCCGGCATCCCGCTGAACCACAGCGACGCCGGCGGGTACTGCACCGTCGACCTTCCGCTCCTGCGCTACCGACGGAGCGAGGAGCTCCTCATGCGCTGGATGGAGGTGAACGCCTTCACCGTCGTCTTCCGCACCCACGAGGTACCAGCACCACACACACACACACACACGTACCACTGTTGGATTGGATGAAGCACGCGCGCATGATGATTCAGATGATCCACCGATTTGTTGCAGGGGAACAAGCCCGGGTCCAACTGCCAGTTCTACTCCAACAGCCGGATCCTCGCGCATTTCGCGCGCTGCGCCAAGATGTACAAAGCCTGGGAGTTCTACCGCGTCCAGCTCGTCGAGGTCCAAACGCCATGCCGCTCTGCTAGCGCTACTAATTTTTCAATCAATCACGAGTTCGGGTGATGGATGGATGGATTTCTTGGCATGCAGGAGGCGGCGGAGAAGGGCCTCCCCGTGGCGCGCCACCTATTCCTGCACTACCCGGAGGACCGGCGCGTGCAGGAGCTGACGTACCAGCAGTTCCTGGTGGGGACGGAGATGATGGTGGTGCCGGTCCTGGACAAGGGCAGGACCGCGGTGACCGCCTACTTTCCGACGTCGGACGGGGGGTCGTGGAGGCACGTGTGGACCGGCGAAGAGTTCGGCGGTGGGCACAGGAGCGGGCACGGTAGCGTGGGGGAGGCGACGGTGCACGGGTTCCAGGCCGAGGTCACCGCCGACGTGGGCTGCCCAGCCGTGTTTGTGAGGGTTGGGTCACCCGTTGGGGAAAGGTTTGTAAGAAATTTGAGAGACCTCGGTGTAATTTAATTGGACGAGTAAATGGACACAACTGGATTATGGATCTTGTGTTACAATGCCGTAGGCAGTCTGGTTACATATACAAGGAGCAGCCTACATGCAGGGCACGATCACACGAGGTGGCGCTAGACTAGGTAACCTCCTGGAGACTAGGACTGCTAGTCACAACAA